TTCGACACTCCGTTGACTTTGGCTGTGACGGGGTTTTCCATTTACCAATTTCAGACCTGGCCATTCCACTGTTAAGTTTCGTATTATTTCATTAACGAACTCTCTTCCATTATCACTGAAATAAAAAAACTCATAAAATAGAATTAAAAGCATTAACAGTTAGGTAGTACGTACCTGTGTAGTATCGATGGAGCTCCAAAAATACAAAAAATATCTTTGATATGCTGGCTTACTTCAGATGCCTTCTTTGACTTTAATCCACGTAACATAACAAATTTAGTCAGATGATCTTGGTATACAAGTATAAACTTAAATTCACCATCAGCTTCAGACTGCCTATCTATCAAGTCGACTTGAGCACGGCTATTAAATTCTTTGTGAATTATTGGTTTTACAGTGATACCTTTTCGCTTTTTGGATCGCTTTAAATGACAAACTTCGCAAAGTGACAAGTATATTGAAATAATTTCTTGTGTAATATTCGAATACTGTACTGGACATTTCGCTCTTCATTCGATCTCTTCCTCCGTGACCTATACTTCTATGACAAACGGTTAAAATATCAAACATTTCTTCAACGGGAACAACATAGCGAACATCTCGTATGTCAATCACTATATTATTAGAATCTTCATTATTTTCATTTCCCGTTTGCTCTTTACTTCGGGTTACAAGCTTTTCAATATTTCCGACTTCAACTATTCCAAATCTTTTAAGTCTACGATACTGTAATGGAGTTTTGGGACCATTATTTGATGAAGCATCCCTAACCTAGAGAAAAACATCAGGAATTAAACGTTAAAATATAGGTACTATATTAGTTTAAAATCATTCTTACCTCGGATAAAAGCACGTCATATTCTTCCTTGAATAAAATGTTCAATCGTGAGTTTGTTCTTCCCTTCAACTTCTTAACTTCATCGACAAATTTAAATTTAATGTTATCAATAGGTAGTGCAGTCATTGCGATGAGAAACTCCAACAACAAAACAATCAAAACATAACCTCAAACTTCAAGGCACGACCAGTCGTATTTTGTGAGGTTACATGTACTATATAATCACTAATATACACAGCAGATATTATGCATAATTCCTATTGCTGTGTCAGTTATTATCAATAATTACTAAAAATATGGCGATACTTTGCATAATTACTGACGATTTTAGTAGTTGTCGATAATTCCTAATACGCGCCGTTATTTTGCATACTAACCGACAGTTTTAGTATTTACGCATAATTCCTATTATGTCTAATTATTATGCATATTAGCGGATTTTGGATATTAGCGGTAACATATATATAGATGAAGAATAAAGCTTCCGCCTTTAGTTGGGTACTTCGACAAGATTCAAGCAATGAGGACTCTTTATACTTTATTAGTCTCTAGCTTTCAATGGACTTTGCCACCTTCATCAGGAGAGTAGTATGTGAGATTGTGGCTAAATGTTATTAACGTTTAAGTTGAGGGAGACACCCTAACTAAAAAAAGAAATATAAAAGTATTACCTAACCAACCTAATTTGTTAAAACATCTATACTTTTTTTAAAAGATACAAAAGGCAAAGTAACAGTATGAACTTTATCAATAAAAAAACACAATAGATAAGTCAAGCATTTATATTATATTATAATAAAATTGGTAACAGATTTATTTTAAATATCAACATGATGCACTAAATGTGAGTTTAATTTTTTACCTACTTTCTATAATTCTGTGAAGAATCATATATCTCAAACTCGTTTAGTAGTACGTCACACTGCTCTTTTGACCATGACATCTTTTAAGTTTTTGAATCTACTTGTAGAACAGCATACAGCTTAAGCAGATGAGTTTCACGAAACTGATGAACACAACTGATCACAACAGATGTAATTCCTTGTCTCTTTCAGGAAGATATTATTTAGAGCAGCTTTTAGAAAATTTAGCACTCAATTTGTTCATACAAAATTATGTGATGCTTTTCTTAATTTTGTACAGGATTTAGCGTACTAAATTCAGCACAAAATTTCGACACGCTCTCTAACCCATTTTTTTGTAAAAATTCCAGATACGTGCTCTTGGCTTTTGAGGACATTATCAGTTATGCGATCAATTCAGTATTTTGCTGTTTCGACGTACTGATTATGACGTTGCTTACGTTAGTGCAAATCCAGTTCAAGATGCTTAATGATAGACTTGTTCAGTTATACAATATTAACAGACCTGAAAGTTTGCGAAGCAGCATGAGGGAATGCATCAATCATTACAGCTTCTTGTTAGAGTAAGTACTCTTTTTGATATGATGCGATGTCATGTTTTTTGAACCTTAAACTTATGTATTTTACAGCGTCCCCCGCACCCCACCTCTAAATCCGCCACTGCATCTTATCGATCCAGAGGCTCGTACTGAAAACCATATAATAACATAAAAGGTTTGCCAAATTTAGATAAACGATAAAAGTAGTAAACAAAAAAACGCTAAGACCTTACACGGCAGTGGTCGAGAATACCAAAAAATTTGTGTAATAACATTCTTATTTTTTTGAACTTCTATCACTATTTCTTTGATTGCGTAACTTTTGACGAGTCAACTTTGAAAACACGCTGTACATTGGTTATTACTTGAATATTCTAGCTGCTTGTAATCAAGAATTTTAAGAGATGCAATCAGAAAAAGCCGCCGAATAATAAAACTCTAGGAATTAAATGTGGGAAAACTTCTGGCTCCTCCTGAATGTATTCATCAGTAGACTGGAAAGTAACTAAACGCACAGTTTTCGACTGAAACATATTTACTATGCGAATACAGGAATATACACAATTGACTTCGTCAGATCAAAATTTGCGAGCTCTATTTTTTCAGTTTTTTAGTTTAGTCCCGATATATAAGACTAGAGAAATTTGGAACATTGTACACCTTGCAGCTTGAATTTGTTTATCAACAGGCGATCGAAAATTATTGTTTTATCTTACTTTCCAGTACCTTAAATTAAGGTACTTTACTAAGAATCACATAAATCCATTCTGTGAATACAGGTTCCGGGATTCAAATCTAATAACACTCCACTATAACAAGAGTAAATTATTTGTTACAATAGTTAGTAATCAACTTTTTGTTTCAGTTTTACAACGAGGTTCAAAAATGCATTTTCTATCACATTGTTATTATTTGTTGGGAACATAAGCGTTTCTCTGTGCATATGCATGTATGTAATCAGCTCTGGGTAAGTATTGTCACAAGCGTTCAAAAATAATTTATTCTGCAAATACCTATTTTCTTAACCAGTTTTTGACACACGTTTTACTTCCCATACCTCTGGCAAGGAAGTATTGTAATAGAGAAAATTTAGAAAATGAGATGTTACGCTTTTGGATTTTACATGTACATTACAAAAAACCATGGTATTCATGTCCGTTGGTCAGTCTGTCGCTTTGTCTTCCAGTCTGTTCGCTAATGCTAACACCTCTATATTGGAAATTATCGCTCAGCTTTTCATGAAATTATGACGCAAGATTACTACGTAAAAAATATGCAGTTTTGGATAATCGGCCCAGTGGCGGCGCAGCTAGCGACATAAAACCAAAAAATAAATAACAAAAAAAATCGTACAAACTTCGCTCTGTATGCCTATTTGACTGACTTGATCCATTAATTTTTCAAACATTTCCGTAGCTATTTTTTTCCTCATAGGGGCTAACCTGCGTTGAACATGATCCTTTATCAACTGCCGTTATTTTTTTCATTTAGATTGTTAACTGCCTAAACATTGCATAACTTCTTAAGACTAAGATACTTGAAATATAGAAATTTCAGGATTTCCATTGAGACAAATGGCATAAAGCTTTTTGAGAAGCTATGAAATTTTTAAAAAACATTTACAGTTGATTTTCGCTATGCGAAGAATGGTGAAGGTGTATATATGAGATATACAAACCGTAAGCACATTCACCATATTTATACGCAAGCAATTCATAAAGGAGGCCATCCACCCATAAACTTATGAACCAGAAATATAGACTATAACACTCACCGGCGTCACCAGCGGGGCACGAGGAGGAGTTGTTGCTTGCAGTGATTCTGAGAAATGTGGCTAACTGCAAAACAACCAAAGTCCTGAAAAGACTCTGTTCACTCATTCATCATAGAAGCAATTTTGTCCCAAATTATGTTTGGTCGATTTTTATAAAAAGTGTAACTTAATTATAAGTTAAATATAAGTTTTAATTATTATAGAGTCAAGAGCTCGTGAAGCTCCAGAGGCTGAATTTTATTTCAGTCGCCGTCTAGAGCTCGTTACGAGGTCTTGACTTTACCTGCAATTCATACTTTCCCATTTTCCCCCTCCCCCCATAGGTCATGGGCTGGCGATGCACAGTGATTCCTCCATAGGCCAAAAATCCTAAAAACTGATGAGCTTGCAACGATCTAAATGAGTCGCTAAGTAATCGAGTAGGCAGAAGGCTTTTAAAAAATATGAATAACAATGCAATTAGTTCAAACCTTTTTTTGTGGATTATAATTTCAAGCCTAGTGTTTTCACGTAGTGATAATATAGAAGTGCAAGAATATGGTATGTACTCTTATTATTTACCAGTTTTATGTAGATACATCCGTTTTAGAGTATTATCTAAATTTTTTGTTGAAAGTTGTTTTTGCCAGATTTTTCGCTAAAGAACTAATTCATTTTGATTTATAAACTTTTTGCTGCGCCTTGCTGCAGCTGGTGTAAATGTTATCTTAAAGTAGAGAATGTCTAGATTAGGGACCTATAGGTTTGTGAAGTGCCAAACTATATACATATGTTCAAAGTACATAAAAAAGAGGTGTTTTCCAAATCCAATTTTGTTGTTGTTTTAGGCGAATTTTCTAATATTCTGTTTGGAGGAGGACTATTTCTGATATTTGGCACTGTAACAAGGGTAGTGCCAAAGAAAAATTGCAACATATCCTCGACACATTGACTGAAACGTCGTGTTTTTCAGATAACATCGAAAATGTTGATTTAGGGAGATTAAGTGACAGAATTAGAAATTTATGGAAACGAATTTCACATTATGGGGTAAAGTCGAATGGCTCTAAATCACATTAATTTATTTCGACGAGATCATACACAAAAAATGAGCCGCGTTTTGACCATTAATTTAATTAATAAGCTTCTTTTTCATTCGTATCCTTGATTTGAGGTTTACGAAAGTTACCTGTTATAAAAAAATCTGTGTTGCATTTGTTAAGTTAAATTGTTTCCATTATAATATAATAAGTATTAGAGTTTATAATTTTTTCCAATATATCTTGTTTGCCCTTATCATGAACTGTTTTATTTTATTTCTCTAATATAAGGTTGATCGAAAACAATATCTAAAGCAAAAATACTGAGAAACATTTTCAGGGCCCACTTATTATTTTTTTTTTCTTGAAAAAGAATTTTGTAAATCGTATATTCATGTTTGTACAACTGTATTTTAAGGTTTAAAATACAATAAAAAAAGGTGTATTTATGGCCGCCCTAGAATGGAAGGGGGATCACTGTGCGATGCTCTTGAAAATGCTGCTGTGTGCTTTTTGGCAGCTCATCAGCATGGTATAGACTTGGTTTCTGGACATCGAACGAAAGCATAGCAACTATATCCGAGGCATAAAACATCGCAAAGCGGCATCTATCACCCGAATCGACCACTACGAGAGTGTATAGAATCTATTGGTTGAAATTATAAAGCTCTTAATTTGCGTTTGATAGCTCAGTCACGACCGCTAGAGTCTAACGATTCTGGAGATATAGTTGATGTGGTCTAGGATGAGTTGCAAATAAGCACGAAGCAGCTTTAGTTTGTTCAATGACGAGTAGACCACATCTACTATATCGCCAAACTCGTCAGCCTCTAGCGCTCACAGACGGTTCCAATAAGTGGTCGATTCTGGTAATAGATGGCGCTTTGCGTTGTCCTATTTCGATTGCTGACTAATCTGGACGTATGAAATGTTTTATAGCCCACCACTTCATGTTGTGATCGAAGCCTTCCTGCACCTGGTAGCTGGACTGAACATGATTTATATTTGCTATTCGGCACCTGCTCAAGGCCTTATGGATGAGGTGCGTATAAAATTGCATATTTCAGCGTGGTTCCAAAGACGTTTGAATGCCAAATAGAAGCACTATAGTTGAATCTAACCACAAGAAGGTACATGCTCATAATAGGGGCAAGAGGAAATTAAAAATGGAGTAGGAATACATAGTACACAACTACCTATTCAAAATCATATAAGCACAAAAAGAGCTGCATCGATTTCGATGATTAACCGAAGAGATAGATACAAAGTCTGTAAATTAAGTAATGAGACTGACAACGCATCGTTCGATTTGGCAACACTGGAGGCGCCCCACTATCAATGTAATGAGCACCATCGATTGTTATGCATGACCTACATTTTGTTATAAAAGATTTATTTAACCTACAAAGAAACTGAAACTGCAATAAAGCGAAAAAAAAAAACGAATAACGATAATGCCATTTAAAAATTGGCCAATTTTTTCGTCAAATTGGCACAGAGATGGAGAGTTTTAGTAAAGATTCAGACTTTGGCACTACTTTTATGTGGATTTTTCGTCACCTCAAAGAAAAATAATGCTGGACGAGATAAAATGCTTAATTTTGAGTGTTTTAAAACAAACCTGGTTCAAGAAAGTTGATATTTGTAGAAATTGCATGGGATTAACTGAATATAAGCCAGTATTTAAAAAAAATGAAAGCTGAAAATCTCAAAAACTTTTAATAAAACAAAGTTTCGCCATCTAATAGGCCAAGCAGTGACCTGCCTACAGTTGCAAGATTATCTTCCAATTTCGGACACCCTGTATATATAAAAACTTTTTACTGACATTTCGGCCTTTTTCGAGGTCAACCGGACTGTTACGACAACAGTTCTCGATGGATTGAACTGTCACCTGGAAAACATAAACATTGAATATGATGTTATTGTTACTATTTTTTTTTTAATAATAATAATGTTTATTGTCACAAAATACAGGTAAATATCAAATATTGTGCACAATAAACATAAAGTACGCAAAAAAAGTTTGCACTTGTGTTTGGGTTTGTGCAAAATAAAAACTAATAGTACAGTCAGTGTATAAAAAAACCGTTAATACTGTATAATTTGGTGAATAATTATGGTAATGTCAGGAAAAATATACAGACAATTATAACTAAAGTAAAAGTATGGATGTTAGTGTAAGTAAAATATTATTGATTTTGATAATGATTTTTCAGATCTACAATTTCGTGGATGGAGTACCTTGGTTGTTGAAAAATCCATTTTTTTAGTTCTTTTTTAAATGATTTATTTGATATAATTACTTTTAATGACTCTGGTATGAAGTTATAGAATTTTGGTCACAAGAAAAACAGAGATCGTTGTGTAATGGTTTTTGATGTTTGTGGAATACTTACACATTAAATTTTGATTGAATCTTGTTGGGTAGTTATGAATGGTACGATTCAAGTATTTCGAATATTTGAAATAATGTATTAGACCACAATAAAGATAAATTTGTCTGCAATCTAATAGCTGAGCCTCCACATATAGAAAATGTCTTGAATAAGTAATCTCCCTATGGAGGATCAATTTTAGAATTAATTTTTGGATTACATCAACCTTTTTGTAATTATTATTCATATCTCCCCCCAAGCCAAAATTCCGTAAAGTAATAGAGGATAAACAACAGCATAATATAGATTATATATACGTAGATATTTCTTATCTAGAATATATCTGAAGTACCTGAATTTTGGAATAATACATCTCAGTCTCTTCACAAGGTACTCTGTATGGGTATCCCATTTTAAGTATTTGTCTAAAATCACGCCTAAGTATTTTATTTTATCGGCTGACTGAATCTCTTTGAGACCACTGCTTGTATGAACTTCAAGTTTTTAAATTGTGGTGAGAGCCTGTCGTTACAAGAAAATGCTATATAGTGTATTTTGTTGTAATTAATTGTCAAAGTTCTTTCCGAAAAGAAATTTATAAATGTTTTGAAATCATGTTCGATTGTTGTTTTTAGTGTATGCCACTGGTAGCTTTCATAGAGAATAGCTGTATCATCCGCAAAGCCGATAACTTTACCTGTACTACTGATTTTGAACAAATCGTTGATAAATAGATTAAATAAAATGGGTCCTAATACTGAGCCTTGAGGTCCACCGTATGATATAATATGGGGTTCACTGAATGTGTTATTAATTTTGACGCGCTGTGTTCGATTTGACAAATAATTTTCTATAAGTTTGTATGTTATTCCCCGGAAACCTAAGTTTTATAAAGTTGTTAAAAGCGATTCATGAGTAATAGAGTCGAATGCCTTTCCCAAGTCAACAAAAACACATGCAGTTGGTTTGCCAATATCGAGATTCGTGTATATTTTACTTGTTAATTTTACAATAGCATCTTGAGCAGATTTGCTTTCTTGAAAACCATATTGCTGTTCCGCTATTAAGTTATATTTTTTTGTTACAGTAATTCATATAGTGTATTCTCTGAAACAAATATGTTACGTCATATTTAGTAAATTTGGATGCCAATCTTAATGCAAAATAGTGCAAAATGTGGTTTATTTTCGTTCTTTTTGCCTCAATATGTGCACTGCTATTTTATAAAAATAGTTTTGTTCAAAACATTTAACGATTTTGTTAAAATGCCGAAAACTCTGGGCCGACAAGCAAAAGAATTCGTCATTTCTTGACAAAATATTTTGAGACCGAACGAGATCATGGAGCTCCATTATTGCCATTACAATCCGTAAGAGAGTCATTAGGTAATAAATATAATTTATACTAGCTCCAGCGTTTACAAAACATACATACAGTAGATTTTGTAAAACATCCTAGGATGTAGTAGTTTTAATTAATGTGGCAACCGTGTGCGTCACTGTCATTATTTGACGTTGTGATGTAACTGCTTTGATCCAGTGAATAAGCTATACATATGTTATGGAACAATCCTTGCCAAGGTGGATCAGTCAAGCAATAGCTGTGCGATGTAGGGGTGCAGTGGTACATTCAATGAATAATAAATACACGCGATTATAAACTAATAGTCGTTTCATTTAATACATATGTGGTTTCATTTAACCAGAAAATCATAGAATTATATCGGAGTGGAAATCACAAAATGTGTCAGGTGTTACATTGACCATAAGTTGTACGTTCCAGGCTAATCGTGTCGGCAGGAGCATATATTTTTCGGGATGGTACGATTTCCCTTCTGACTCAAAGGACGTGGTGACGTTTCTCATTCGCACCCAGAAAACCTGCGAAGTTTCTGCGGGCGGCATAGTTCGTATTGACATGGAGATGTTTATGGCGGTGAGTTATAAACTTTGTCTTTGAAATTATTACTTCTCATTAGCACGAGATGGTAATCATGGAATTTTTAGGATTTGAAATATAATATATAATAATAATAATAATCTAGTCATTGATGCGATGTTTGCAACAGAAAAATTTCTCAGGGGGCGGAAGATAATATATATATATATATATATATATATATATATATATATATATATAGGTGAAAAATTAAAGCTTCCGCCTTTTGTTGGGTACTTCGACAAAATTTAAGCAACGAGGACTCTTTATACTTTTTTATTCTCTCTAGCTTTCGATGGACTTTGCCATCATCATCAGGAGCTGCAATTACATTGATAACAGTAGCAACAGTAGTGTAAAGTGAATTTAAATTGACTTAACTTACAGTAGTATGTGAGGCTGTTGCTAACTGTTGTTTACGTTCAGGATGAGGGAAACATCCAGTAACATGGTGAAAGCTGGATAGATGGTACAATGGTCAAAATTATATAAAATACACACAACTGTGTGACAAGAACAAGTTAAAAACAGATTAAAAATTTTTTTTTAGAACATGAAAGCATTACATCGTGAAGCCACTTGATGATTGCACAAAATGGTGGACATGGAATAATGAGTGAGATGAACCCTTTGACAGAAGACCGAAGGTTGTCAATGTCTGTGTAGAGAGATGGAACGAATTGTGGGCGTGTGCTAGGTTGCCGAATCACTTCAGATGACTTAATTTTCAGAATGTGTTATGTAAGAAATTGTTAAACCGACCAGAGGCAGTTGAATTAACTATATTTTAATTAATTACACCACATCACATGACCCACCGCTTAACATCAATCACACACATACTAGAAAGCCATTCAATAGAAGATGGGATGAAAAATCGTCTGCACAGGTTAGGTGACAAAATACTTGAGATATCTTCCTGCCACAGACAGTTGAAGAAACTTCATTCCATAGTGCCCATTAATTAAAATATAGTTAATTCAACTGCCTCTGGTCGGTTTAACAATTTCTTACATAACAAATTCTGAAAATCACATCATCTGAAGTGATTTGGCAACGTAGCACACGCCCACAATTCGTTCCATCTCTCTACACAGACATTGACAACCTTCGGCCTTCTGTCAAAGGGTTCATCTCACTCATTATTCCATGTCCAACATTTTGTGCAATCATCAAGTGGATTCACGATGTAATGCTTTCATGTTCTAAAAATTTTTAATCTGTTTTTAACTTGTTCTTGTCACACAGATGTGTGTATTTTATATAATTTTGACCATTGTACCATCTATCCAGCTTTCACCATGTTACTGGATGTTTCCCTCATCCTGAACGTGAACCACAATTAGCAACATCCTCACATACTACTGTAAGTTAAGTCAATTTAAATTCACTTTACACTATTGTTGCTACTGTTATCAATGTAATTGCAGCTCCTGATGATGATGGCAAAGTCCATCGAAAGCTAGAGAGAGTAAAAAAAGTATAAAGAGTCCTTTGCTTAAATTTTGTCGAAGTACCCAACAAAAGGCGGAAGCTTTAATTTTTCACCTAACGGGTCTAGACGACAATGACCACGTCTCAAGTTATATATATATATATAGAGAGAGAGAGAGAGAGAAATCACGTTTCCCTAAAACTTTTTGAAGAACGGTGGGTAGTGAACTTTCCCAGGTAGGGGGGCAAATCCTCAAATCTTCGAAATTCTACACAAGATCCTGATAAATATGCTAATTATAAGTCCAACCGGATTTCCAGGTGGCCTTTTTGAAACTATAGATCAAAAAAAGTCACAATGACAAAATATATTTTCAAGTGTATGTAGGTATGTAGCAAATTGTTACCAAGTTTCAATATTCTAAAGGTATTAAACCTTGGTTAGCCCTTTATGATTCAAGATCTATTTATTATACAGTTTTTTCTAACTGGACTGGTCTTAGATTAAATAGGTTATTTTTAGAGAATAACATTGTTATACAGGGTTATATGCTACGCTCATAGTTTTTCTAATTATGTAATTTTGGTGAATCCATATAACATTTGCAGTTACCGATTGTCAGTTTGATGATTTCCGATTTCACTAGAAATTGAATTTTACGCAATAAAATTACACATTATTTATGATATGTCAGTCTCAGCTACAATGATATACAGGGTATCAGGGAAATGATATTCGTAACTTATAAGAGGTGATTCCTTGCATTATTCTAACCAAAAAATGCTGAACTAATTTCTTTTAGTCATGAAATAAATTAATTTGACACCTAAATAATTTAAATTCATATGCCTAATAGCTTAAAATGTATCAATATATCTATTTATTAATTAACTGTATCTAATAAAATAATTTTCTTACTTATTAAATACAATTTTCCGAAGAAAAACAAACAAAACAAAATCCCTCACACAACTGGCAACGTCGTACTGCGCCTGCACTGCATGTATCATTGCGTGTTGTTGTGATTACTAATACATTTAACTATAACTTTATGTGATTTACGGATGTTGGTTTTTTTTCTTTTTTCGTGCATCACATCGTTTCAAATAAGTGATAATCGTGGGAATTTTGATGGTGTATATCGCCACGTACCGGTAAGTTCTGTCATTTTTTTAAACCAATGTACTGTACTGAAAGCGTTATTAAATAAAAAATATTAGCCACAAAAAATTGCGTAAAAGTATTTAAAAATTCCATTCATATTTTCAACAAAAATATCATACAAACGTAAACAATTCGATGAATTAGTTGTAGCCATCGTGGGCTCGTATCGCGGTTGCGTTGCAGCGTTGCCAAATGTTTGGGAAAATTTAGTTATTTACGACTCACTTTCTCGAAAACGATTGATTTTCGGACATAAGTTATAATGAACTTTTTTGCTTAGAATAAGGTAAGGAATCACCTCTTAAAGTCATGAATATAATTATTCTAACACCGTATATATAAGCTTAATTTTAAAATAACTAAATAGGTAGGTAGAATATTTGAAACTAATTCACATTATTCTTTTCAGTCGGTGAAAACAATTGTGTCCTACTTCATGTTCCTGAGGACCATCAGTTCTTAAAACATCATAGAATAATTTATATTTTTTGACTAATAGATTATTTCTGGACATAGTCAGATATTTTATTTTTGCTTTGTGTTGTCAAGGTTCTTAGTAAATTTCCCAAAAACCTTTTCTTGTCTTTCAGATATATACCTAACTACCCTAATAAGACGGTAAAAGACATGTGAAAAATGACATAAGTTCTATGTTCAAGAAAATGAAGGATGGCATTATAAAGCCCTAAAAGATGAAAAGATTATAAAAATACATTGCACCATTCTCAAACAACAAAAGACTACAAAAAATCTTTTATTAGGAATGTTTTCTTTTAATTGATCAACGATATTTCTTACGAGTATATTAAGAATATAAAAATTGTGTTAAAAGCCAAACATCGGCTTCGCCTCCAGCCGGGTCCTACTAATTAATTAATCAGTTGACTAATTAGATAATGGCGATACACTAATTAATCCAATAACGGCCAGCCTTGCTACAAAATTATTCAGCTCCAATTTTCCATCAATTTGCTCATGACTGTTTCTTTTTTTGTCTCATAAAATATGGATACATGCGCTGCTTTGAAAACGTCAAATTATAATGTAACTTGTCGATTAATAATACAATCAGAAGAGAATATTTAATTGGTAAATTTGAAAAAAGTTCACTCTGGCTTAGTGGCCTGCTAGGTGAAGACAACTGTATAGTGTGCATTTCATTGAAAAAATACATGAAACCTGTGTATAGTTGAAGATCGAGGTGGGTAGATTCGTATGTTCTGATAAATGGTCAGTGGTCTCACAGAACATAAAGTCCATCATATTTTACAGGACGCATATTTAGATGCGGCAAAAATCTTGCATGGAGATGCGAAATTATTAAAAGTTTATTTGATGCTTTTTGGATTATAGAAACTTAAATGGAATGAAATAAACAGATACAATTAGTTAAATGAAGAAATGGATAAATCAACTGTACGTTAGAATAGAATTACTAATTTTAATGATTTTGGCATCGTCATGTAGAAGACATTTTTTTTGTTCTTGTCTCATTTTATTGATGGGATCTGAAGTAATTACTAATAGTAGTAAATTGTTTGTTCCCGGGAACATTTCTGGAAAAAAATATAACATTTATTAATTTACTGCTTAATCGAGAGTTTGTTGATATACTAAGTGACATATAAATCCGAACACCCAGTTTAAATGGTTTTATTTTAATAAAAGTTGGTGAATGTATTTATCTTACTGTAAATAACAAGTGAAAAAATTTTCAGCCTTATCAGTTGGACATTCCGGTTTTTATACTGCTTTTTTTAATTCACTAACGCTCTAAAAATGAATATTTCAGCCGCAGTAAAGAATCCACGTTGGCGGATTTTGGTTCTTGACATCCTTTACGACCGGTTACGATGCCTAGAGTACGGAGACCTGTACGATTTCGTCAACTTAGTGAGTTTGATAAGGGCCGTATAGTGGGACTTCGGGAAGCAGGACTTTCTTTTCGGGCAATTGCAGTTAGAGTGCAAAGAATTGTAGACACTGTGGTTAGGTGTTGTCAGGCATGGCTTCGAGAAGGCCGTACGCAAAGAGCAAGGGGCACTGGACGCCGCCGTAGAACAACAGACCGTGAAGATCGCCGCCTAAGATTATCGGCCTTAAGGGACCGTTTCTCCACTACCAGGTCCATTGCAAATGAATGGTTTGCAGAACACGGAAGACCTATTGGCATGCGAAGTGTTTACCGACGAATGAGAAGTTTTGGCTTGTTTTCATACCGGCCACACTGGCTCCTCCCTTTAACTCGAGAACACCGACGTAATCGCCTTGAGTGGTGCAGACAACGGTCACTCTGGGATCAGGAATGGAACAGTATTGTCTTTACTGATGAGTCTCGATTTTGTTTAGGCATGCACGATGGTCGTGCCAGGGTTAGAAGCCGACGTGGTGAAAGGAG